CTGAGCGGCTCGGTGGCTGCGTGCGGCCCGGGAAGGGGGCGGGGGCGCTGTGCAGGCCCGAGCGCGGCAATGATTGGTCTCGGGGGAGGGGTGGGGGGTTGCAAAGCCGTGGAGCGGTGGCATCCGTTGCATGATGCAAAAAGGATTGATTTCAAAAGTTGCGAGTTGCATTGGCAGCAGCCTTTGGCGCCCGGGCCACCTACTTTCCCTCGACCCACTGGAAGGGCCGGGAATGTTTCCCAAAATCCGGTCGCGCTCAGCCGCGCTGCGCCCTGCGGGACGCTGGACCTGCTCCCCGCGCGCGCCCGTCCTGTAGGTTCTGGAAGACAATGAGCGTGGAACGAATTTGAAAAAGAGTGGGAGCAGGGGAAAAGACGCCTCTGCTAAGATGAAGGATTTAAAATCACAAACGGCGCGTTTGCGGATAACGACTTCATGGGCTCTCCCTTCTATTGTTTAGCCTGGCTCGGGAGTTAATATGAGCCTTCGTGAACATGCAAGCGCCCTGCAAAGTTTCGTGAACGTTTATAATATGCCTGATAGGAAGTCAGGGCTTAAGTTTCCGTAGTTACATTGTTTGTTCATCACACGTCCAAGTAAACATGGCAGCCTAATACTGTATGTGTTTGAATTAGCAAGGATAGCAGAGCTTCATCTTGTGAAGTTAACTTTTTTCAGGTTTTCAACTTTCTAATGCATTTCTGACTACAACAAAGCACCATGCTTTCAGACGGCATCTGTTAGGGCTTCCTTTAAAACCGAGGAGCGTGGAGAACCAAATTTTTCTAGAGTGGTTGAGCATTTTCCGAATGTATTTTGGGTAACCGAAAGGTGCTTTAGATCGCGCATCAGGTTGACAGGCTACACAGATGCCCTTTTTCGTTCTTAAAATTTCTGCCTGGCAGTCGCCCAGGGTTTTTATCCAGGTGAGCAAGCAGAAGTGATGCAAACTGGAAGACCCAGCCCACGCAGTCTCCTCTCTTGTGTCCTCTTTCGGCACCCCTGCAGTAAGTTAGGAAAGAACATAGTAGCCGAGGTTCTTTGATGTGATTTGTTGGAATTTTGTATGAATGGTATAACCCTGTGGTTGACAAACTTGGATTTGCTTCTGAATCACCCAGAAAGACACAGATATACACAATCCCCAAGCAATACTCCAGACCTCCAGAATCAGGGCAGGAGAATGCAGATATTTCTATTCCCCTCATCCTTTCCCTTTTCAAATTGGTTTTGTGAGGGTTTGGTTTTGTATTTTTAGCAACAAAAAAAAGTCACGACTAAGGAAAAAGTTTGGGAATTAGGGAAGGGGACGCAACAGAGAGGAGTAATGCCCTATGTGAAGACGCATGTGTCATGCTGAGGATTTTTATTTTTATGCCACAGCAGTTTGTCAGATATATATAATATATATATACACACATATATTATACATATTATATATATTATATATATATAATGTACACAAGTTTAGTTTGTAAAAAGGCTGTGCCACATCTGGGAGGATGCCCTCTCCCAGACAGAAAAATGGGGCCCCTTCTCTAGTGAGGAGGTAATTGTATTAGTCAAGCATGGAGTGGAAGGTATTAGAACCGAAGCAGCGAGAATGCAGACCAGGACGGTGATTCAGTGTGCGGTGGGAGGAAGAAGCATAAGATGACCCCCAGATTTCTAGTTTGGGGGGGGGCTGTGCGGGTAGTGATGCTACTAATTGAAATAGGAACTAGTGGTAGGCACACAAGTTTTGGGGTGAGTTCAGCTTTGGAAATTTCAATTTTGAGTGCCTGCCAGATAGGCTAGGCTGGAGGCAGTTGGTCCAACTAGGTCTGGCTTTGGGGTGAGGGTGGACTCTGCCCTTGAGATGCAAATGTGGTTCATCAGCATGTAAATGGGGATTGAAGCCTAGGAAAGAAGGGAAATTAACCGAGAGGGAAGGTTCTGGGGAAAAAGAGACCTTGGACAGAGCCCGGCACAGCTTCCTATTGGAATGGCTGGGTGAGCAGGAGGCTGCTCCCTGCTGAATCTGCGGGAGGCTAGTTTCCTCAGAACCAGCTCAGTGAGCCCACGTGATTGGAGCCAGCAGCTCCAGAACACTGAGTCAAATTCTCATGAGCAGAGGCTGTAGACTTGACTAAGCCACAGACGCCTCACTTCGTCTGGAGCCAGTCTACAACCTTGGGGTCAGACAACCCCCTGGATCTCTCCTCCCTCCCTTCCCTTGCCCTCATTGCAAGCTTCTCTCTGTTCTTCCCCCAGTCAGCCTTCCTGCCAACTGGGCCTTTCTGGAAGCTCAAAAATCCTGAAGTATGTAATCTTAATGTTCATTATGTCCCCCAAAATCTAGACCACACTTTATTGACCTCAGTAGGAGATACACCTCTAGAAGAGAATGGGTCCCCTCAGAGGAAACCACCCACCCTGTCCCACCCTACCCCACCCCACCCCACCCCGTCTCTGACCATCAGGGCCAGTGTCATGGAGGGAGGACTGTCTCTGTCCAAGTCTGGCCCCTGCTATGCTCCAGTTGCCACCCCTCCAACAATAGCTGAGTCTTCTTGGGGACTTACCATGCACCCCGCTGCACAATGTTTTACGAACATCGAACATTGTCTCAAAT